GAGCCCATGGGCTGTAGGTAGTGCTAATGGGACGTAGTGCCTTCTCATTCTAGGGCACTTAAATCCAGAATTACTCAGAGACAACTATCTGCTAGCTGATGCACACAGTTGTTAACACACTAAAAATCTTGGAGACAGAGCTGATCACAAACAGCAAGACTGTGAAGTGAAACTACCCCAACCTGCTGCCATTGGGGGGGGGGGGGGGAAGGTAGAAAAAGTATTCCTTAAAGGTTCTGAGCAGACAACATTCATAGTTATCGATATAACAGAAAATATTTCAAGCTGGTTACAAAGTTCTAGCAGCAGTTATTGGAATTACAAAAAAAAAAGTTCTACAAAATTCCTTACATTATAAAGCTTTTAGTTCCTTGTCATCAAAAGTTATTCTTCAGCTCATTATAATGGGCATATTTCAGCATTTAACATCACTGGAATAACAAATGCTGATTTTAAGGAGTCAACGGATTAAAAAGATGGTATTTAAAACCAATTCAAAGTCTTACATTACACATGCCACCGTGAATCTGTCAACGTGCTCAGTTCCATCAAGAAAAACACTCGTATACAGCGTGCTCCCTTCATACGGTCAGATTATTTATCTTGAGGAAACGAATGAAATCAAAAATACCATTAAATTTCTTATAATAGAGAAAAATTAAATTCTGGGCCCACAAAACCAGTAATAGCCATTTATTTTAAAGATTTAATGTCTGACCAGCAAGACAGTCTAACACTAATGATTCGTCACCAGTCTGACAAAGTGACAAAGTCAAGAATGCCAAGATCTCCAGAAGACGTGCTCTCACATCTTCTACAAAAACACAAGAAAAATCTGTTTTCTCAATTAGAAAAAAGTTACAGCAATCCCACAGAAACTGCAGAGGTAAGACAGATCTTTGCAAGATCTTTACTACTCAGAATTAATCAAAGCAAAAGAGCCACCCTAGTGATAATCCCCTTTAGTGCTTCACAGTTTATGCAATAGTCAATTACTAAAGAGGATGAAAGACAGAACAATCTTTGCAAATAGGTCACTGTCTATATTTGTAATGATTAAAACCAGCCTGCTACTAAAAGTAACTTTTAATAAGCATAAAAAGTAACATTAAGACAATGCAAGCATTTTAGTCTTAAATATATTCTGTCTCCTATGACAGAAGAGGTAACACTTGTCAGAAACAAGTTATTTCACATAGGTTACGCATTAGCATTGCTGAAAGCAGATTTTCATTTCTGTCTGTAACGTTTTTATTCCAAAGTACCATCCACCTAAAGGAAACACCTAACTATTCCTGACGTGGTCTCTGAAC